TTTATAAGATAAAAAATTAAAAATATTATATTATAATATTATAAAGTTAAAACTAAAATTTATCAAATTTATAGGATAAATAGCTAAATGTTGATTTTAGTCAAAATACTTTTACAAAATCAAATAATCCGAGATGTTTTCGAAATGGAAATTCAAGCACACCCTCTAAAGAGCCGTACCTACATCTTTTTAGCCATAACAGCTATGGTTTTGAGGCTTTCGAGGCTTTTGACGACTTTTTTTTTTGGTAATGCGGCTTTTGACGACTTTTGCAGCAGTGAATCTAGAGTTCAGAGAACCAGGACATGAAACCTCACTCAAAAAAATTTTTTTTTTTTATTTTGTATTTACGATTTACTATTTTTTAATTTTTTTTTATATATTTTAAAATTAATTTTTTATTAAATGATTTTAAAAAATAAATTTTTTATATCAATTTAATACACTTAAAAAATTAATTCCATATATATTAACTTGAAAACTTAGACTTAAAATTTAATTTATAGGACAGAGCTTACTATATCCACCCTGGTTCCGTGCCCTCAGTCTGTAGTCTTCTAACAACTCGAATCCTGACTCAAAAATGAAAGTCCTTTTTCTTCCAATTTTTTTATAAGGTAGAACAAAACCAAGTTCAGTACATGAAATAATTTTTTTCTAAGACAGATAAAATAAGTCTTATTTAATAAAATAAAGGTTAGGTATTGGAAGTTCTTAATTTAGTCGGAGACTTTGATCTAACCTTAGGTGTATTTGGTATTGTGATTAAAATTAAACATATTGTAGTTAGTGAATAGTAAATAATAAATAATGATAATAGGTAGTAAGTAAATGATAAATAACATGTTTGATTAATATAATTATTTGATTATATTCAGTGACTAAAGCACGTTGACTCAAGGTTAGGCATGGGTCCTATCCTAAGCCAAAAAATTTTGAAGAAAGTAAAGGATTTAATTGTTTAGGCCATATATTGTAGTTGGATGAATTTGAAGGAAAATAAAATATTTAGGATTTTAAGAAACTAAAATGAAAAGAACACCATAAGAAATGTAAAATGTTGAAGTGGAAAGAAAATTGAAAAAAATAAATACGTAATCCATACATTGAATAACTAAAATACAAGAGAAAAATTAATTTAATACCGTGAAAAATGTTACTGTCAAATTTATTTCTCCTTGTAACAAACCAATACAAATGCTTTGATTCATAATTTCTCATGGTTACAATTTCCTTCTTTTCCACTTTTTTCTTTTTCTCTTTGTTTCTAAGTACTTCCACTTCCGTAACTTTGTTCAAGTGACTTGAATTTTTAAAATCAATGAAACTCATTTTTAAAAAGTTAAAAATTTGTTTTATGTCCTCTCAATTAGATCTCTTAAAAATCAAGTATTACCCAATACAAATTTCTCAATATTATCCCATAATTTATCCAAATTAACTTCCAATTCACCATCCAACTAGACCCCCCAAGGCTTCTAAAAGAGAATCTATACAAATTCTTCTTAATTCATTGCAATAGAGGAAGATTAAAGAAGGATTGAGGGTTTGATTAGGTTTGAGAATTTGATTAGATTTGGATGTCATCAAAGAAGAAAGAGGAATTCAAATATTTTAAAAGAATACTATATTTACAATATTAATCATGACGTAGCATTAAATAAGTATAATGTAGTATTAAATAAATATATATACATATAGTATTATAAGTAAACCCTTAAATAAAAAAAAAACTAATCAGATAATGATATATAATATTATAAATTTATAATATCAAGTGGCATTATAATTATAGCATTTTTTATATTTTAATCTACTAAAATGGAATAACCCACGTTAATTCTTCAATTGGATTTGCAATTTTTTTTGTCTAGTCCTTACTCTTTATTTTGTGTTACAATTTAGTCTTTTGTATTTAATTTTTTTTATCTATTTTATTCATTCTATATAACTTTAGCATATGTAGTGGAGTTAAGACAAGAAGGCCCTACCCAACAAGAATTCTTGGTTCCACCATTGATCTTGGTTAGTACTAAGATTCAAACCATAATAACACTATGTAAATATCCCCCTTCCCCCTACCTCAAATTGTAACCAATCAAAAAAAAAAAAGAAGTTAGGTGTCAATTTTAGTCCTTCAACTTTAAAGTTTTGCATAATTTTCATCTTTTAACTTTTTTATGTACTTTTTTGGTCTCTTACCTATGAAAAATGTACTTTTTTAATTCTTCTATCAATTAATCCATTAAGTCTATCTACACTTTTTTAGTTCTCAACTTCTAATATATGCACTTTTTTTGTCACTCAACTTAGATTTAAGGGATTAGAAATATGTAGATTTAATAGATTAACTGACAAAATGATTAAAAAATGCATTTTTTATAGTTAAATGATCAAACAAGTGCACAAAAAAGTTGAGAGATGAAAATTGTGTAAAACTTTAAAGTTGAGGGATCAAAATTAGCATTTAACAAAAAAAAAACATTTTTTCTTGCTCTTAGAAGAGAGTTCTACCACTATTATTTATATTATTGTTATCCAATAAGTTGTGACTTAATTGAGAATATAGTTTGCTCCCTAGCTTATTAGATAAAGTTTGATTCCTTGATAGGCTAATGAGGAGTTCATTAATTTCTCATAAATTTTTTAATCCTGGTGTGGATAGTTTGTTTTTAACTAAATTAAAGAGATATTAATTTGATCTGCATAAATTAGTTTTAAAATACATTCACCACTAATAAAAAAAAGGAAAAAATCATATTATTGTTGAAGATTTTCTTTACGAGAAGTGGGGCTTGTGGCCAGCGCAGCAAAAAATGTCATCAAAGTTTGGCCAAGAAAAAAAATGCCATGACAGTGCTGACACTAAAAGAGATTAATTCGTTTGATATTTTTGTATCAAAATGTAAGTAGTGTTAGCTGACAAAGCAAAACTTCCAATGGCGTTCGAGGGATCTGCATTACCTGCGGTCTCGATTTGATTCCAATCACTCATTAATCAATTGCGTTAAACGTCAATAGTTTATCTAAGAGTGTATTGCTAAGAAAATGCTATGTGTACTTCTTTATGACAGAACTAAAAAATTTATGTAAGAACTAAAAAACTTATGTAAAACTATCTCTTTATTAACTACATCAACCTGTCAAAATATCCTCCACCATTTTTTTTTTGGTAGGTAAATTTTAATACATACAAGTTAAAAATTAAATACTAAACTTATAATTAAAAGCACAAATAATTTTATTAGCAAACTACGTAACTGATATGGTTTTTGTTGGTAAATAATCCTCCACCATTAGTTCGATTACACATTTTATTTTTCCAGTCCTTGGTTGCCAGAAACTGCTTAAAAATGA